ACCATCGTTTCAAGGACATTGTTTGGTAGATTCTTCTCAGGGTGACTAATCAACCATATTGCAGTTCGATTACGTGTCAAAGGAAAATTTGAAGAACTTATCGTTTCACTCATTTTCAGCAACAAGCTAAAATTAAATGATACCAAATTAAACTCAACTTGAGAAATTAAATATTAATTTGCAAACATAATTTAAGGTTCTAACTGGAACTTTTTATATTACGAGAATTTAGAAAAAAATCTTCTCTTTTTTTTTAATGTTAATTAAAATTATTTATATTATTGCTTTTTTATTTGTTTATGTATTCTTATTTAATTTGACATAAATACACATAAATAAAAATCTGAATTATATAAATATTTGTATTTTGACAAAAAAAAAAAAAAAAAAAAAAAGATTTATTTGCTATTCTACGAATATAAAAAAAATTAGTTAAATTTTTTTGTTTTTGTTTTAGTAAAACAAATCGTTTGTAGATGCTATTATGGGTCATCCATAAAGTACGTCATATTTTATACCTATCCTTGTCAATTTTTAACCCCTTACCTCCTGTCACAATCGATCACATATACGTGAACGTCTTTCCCTCCTAAACTGTGATGGCAGTTTTTCGTCATAAATATTTCAAAAGATTTAAATGTAAATATTTTGCAGCATTTTAAAAATTCAACCTAATGAAAAAAGGTAATACGCATAAACGTAAGGAGTGTAAGTAAAAATTTCGACAAACCAAAGATTTTCTTTTTTGAAAGACTCAAATAAGTATTAAAAAGTTGTAATTCTAAAATAGTTTTTCTTGTTCTTGCGGAAAAAACTGTTCTCGATTTGATAACTTCTATAAATTTTATGAAAATTCACTCAGGAAGAGTGCCACCACCATTTTAAAATTTCCTTTGTTAATTATTTTTAATAAATGAGTTCAATACTTTTGCAATTGTTTTGCTACGTAATTCTAACTTAATTAATAATTAATAATTAATAGAAGTAAAAAGTCCACTATAATAATTGCAAGGTAACGTAAGTTAGATACATAGCAACAAAAAAACCAGTTTATTTTCCTTACCCGGCCACCTCTGATAAAATTTTATAAATTTTTAAAATTGGCATAGAATTCTTAACATCTTGTGAAAGTTTCTAATACAAACCACTTTATTGATTTGCAGAAATCTGGCCTAAAAGTGGAAACAATTATTTTACCTAGTTTTCCGTGTAATGTAAGTTAAGTGGCATTTTCAGTAATAAATTCGCTCTTATTATATATATATATATATATATATATATATATATATATATATATATATATATATATATATATATATATATATATATATATATATATATATATAATAATTCGCTCTTATTATATATATATATATATATATATATATATATATATATATATATATATATATATATATATATATATATATATATATATAATAAGAGCGAATTATTATATATATATATATATATATATATATATATATATATATATATATATATATATATATATATATATATATATATGATCAAGACCTTTCGTACCCAATTTTTTAATACTGTAGATCTTAAAGCTATTACTTATATATATATATAT